CCGAGGAGCTTGACGGATTGGCCTTGCATCGCCAGTATCAATGCGATGTTTCACAACGTTAGTCCTGCCTGGTTTGTCGCCATCCTTGTCGAATATGTTGGAGGGTCTGCGGAGAAGTTCCTTAGCCTTGTACTGTTATTTTTCTTCCAACCCTTCCGTCCATGCATTAATGTCTTCCGCAATGTCATTCTCACCAATGGAATCGCTTCCAGGTAATTTTTCGCAGTTGAAGATTGCCTCTACCTCTCGACATTGCCCCAGTACAGTTCCTCTTCGGAGTTTGACTGGTGATTTGAACTCATTGAACACTCGAACAGGGATGCGTCCATCTTGTTGCGTCTTAGCCAGGGTTTTACCAATAAGTACGTCCGGTGTAGATTTTTGTGTTGCTTCAACAACCCACAACTTGTTTGTCCCACAATCTCCATCAATCTTCGCCCACACAACTGCTTCTGACTTCGGTGGAATCTGCTCGCTTTCCTCTAGGATCACTCGCTTGCTGCTGTATGGACCATCATACCCAAACCGAAGGGGCACTTCCATGTTGTTATACGTCATANATAATCGCCGCGAACTTGTGTAACACCGTCACATTCCCTATTGCGACTTTGCATGTTACCTCTCCTACAACTTTGGTGTCCTCACCAGTTGCTGCCCTCAACCTTGCTTCAGGTAATGGCCTTACCTTTTTAGTGACCAAATCAGATCGAATAATGGAAAGTGATGCGCCCGTATCCACAGTTAGTACTCGCTCATGTCCGTCCACATATCCACCAATAGTAACGTTGCTCGCTTTTCTGCCAATTCGCGAGACGGAGATTATGGGGCATTCAATTGCGGGAGCCAGCGTGCGCCCCTTGCTGCTGGCTCGTTTTAGTTTAACAACTGATCGGAGTTGGGCTCGTCATCCTCAGTCGTGCGTTTATGTACTGCTGAATTGTTTGACCTGTTGGAACCCGTCTTACATTCGCGTGCGAAGTGACCTGGTTTTTCGCAACGAAAGCATTTCCTAGCACCATCATTTCTCTCGGTTGCACCAGGAGTATTCTTCCCTGCCATCGACTTGAGTGTTTTCAGGATCTCGTTCATCACGTCAGGTGTCTCCACTTCTACTCGATGGGCTTTGTAGGCTGGACTACTTAGGAGCGCCGCCGTTTCACGTGTCTGAGCATACGAGAGCGTTTCAGCAAATGTAGGCTTTGGATTCGCATACGTCTCGCGCTTGGTATACATGTCTCGCATCCCGTTGATGAACCTCTGGACCTTTACCCTTTCAAGGTGTTCACCAGATGCGTCTCCAATAGCTAAGTGAGCCAACCTCTCGAACCCTGAAGCGAATTCTTGTAGGGTCTCATTGGCTTTTTGGCAGCGATTCTCTGTCTCCTGTGCTCGCTACAATAATGTCTTTCCACTGCACCCATTAACGCATCGTAGCTGTTCCTTTCACAATCAGCAAGATTTCCGCTGCAGGTCCTTTTAATGCAACGAACAGTGCAGCGGATTTATCCTCCATGCTCCAGTGATTTGCTGTAGCCGTTTTTTCGAACTGGAGCTTAAAGACCTGGAAGGGAATCGTTCCGTCAAAGGATGGGGTTTTTACCTTGGGAGCGTTCGTCGAAGTAGCTGGGCGATTCAACTGTAAATCACGAAGACGACCTTCCAATTCTTCTACCTTTGCTTCGACTTTCTCCTGTCTCTCTTTAAGTTTGTCCTGTATTTGTGTAATTTTTAATGTTTTGATGTTTGTTAATGATTAGTGGTACTATTTGCAAATAAGCGCAAGACGCTGCCATTCTTAGGTTAATTTTCCATTTCGATGGCCATCTGCCTTTTTATAATCAATCAAGTTGCCATTTTTAACTTTATTTTCCTTTTCGATGGTCATATTATTGCCTTTTAAAAATTAGGCAATATTAAAAAAAAAATTTTCACCATCGAATAAACAGTGAGTTAGTTATTTGCAAATTATTTTTATTTGCAAATAGCTTACGTATAAACGTAGTAAAGGCCGGTCTACATAGAACTTTCGCGTTGGCTTTGGCATTGGCGTTGGTTTGACAGAACGCACGTTTAAAGTGTGCTTGCTACAATGAACGCTTGGCAGCGAATGCTGCCCGCACTTGAATAAAAAGGAATACTATTTCACATAATTTTATTTATTTGCAACAGCTGATGAGTGGCGCACGCGAAAAGTTGAGAGTTGGCCATCTTTTTGCTTTGCGTTAGCGTGAGCGTTNTGATATTTCTTGCCCGCACTTGAATTAAAAGGAATACTATTTCACATAATTTTATTTATTTGCAACAGCTGATGAGTGGCGCACGCGAAAAGTTGAGAGTTGGCCATCTTTTTGCTTTGCCTTAGCGTGAGCGTTGTCGAATTTTGGCTATGTGGGCTTCAAAAAGAAATATCACTTTGCGCTCTCAGTTTCCCCTTTCTAAAAAGTTTATTGGCTATAAGAACACCAAAACGTGATAGTTAGTACAAACTGGTACAACTATCGCATACAAGGACGCTACTAATAATACAAGGCTCGATAAACTGACAGTTATCTCTCTCGCACCGCTCCCTTAAGGGCTGACTATAATAGGTTCTTTCCCGTACGCAACGTGGGATCCCGCGGGTGCCCAAAACAGCCCAGAAATTATTCCCGTACTCAACAAAATGGGTAATAGAGAGCGAAAATTGGAACGTATTGGATCGTAAGTGTCTTCTTCTTCCTGTCCGAAATAGCCCGGACTTTTTCTCCGGGTAAAATTGGATAAAGCGTCAAAGTGCATATCAGCTGTTTTGTGTTTACATGTTGCCTGCATTTACTTGGTGCTTTTAAGGAATAGTGAATGTATTTTCAATCTTTATATTCTTAAAATCAAATTTGTGAAATAAAAATTCAATTTCCATAAGTTTGCATTTAAGTGACAAAAACAAAAACAAAAACAACGCGAATCAGCTGTTTCTAAAATTCCGGGCACGAAATGTGGTTTTTTGGACTATGTTCCATTTTTGGAAGTCAACTTTTCGCTTATTCTCAAATTACCGAATCCGGTTCGGATTGTTAGGGAAAGAACCTAATATGAATAAGCTGCCGTAACTGACTGTCAGAAAATGAACGAAAAGTCTGTCAAATGCATAAGCAACGTGGTGTAGACTTTTAGGTGGCTATATTTTACTTACATGTGTTCAGTGTTGCCAAATTTTTGATTTTTTGTCCAAAATCCCCAGAAAAAGTTACCGAATTCAACAAACAACGACCAAAATTATTTTAAACTAAATTAAACTAAAATTTCAGAGCACTTTAAAATCCACATTTATCCAGTTATGACCAATATATACTCATACATATGTCAACAAGTGGCCGAAAATATCTTAAAAATGGAATGCTTGAAAGCAATCCCGAAAGCTTTCGTCTCAGATATAGACAAAGGGAAGTCCCCTACTGAATGCCGTAGCCGAAACTAACACATTCTCATTTATCTTACTAAAAATCAAATGACTATCACTGTTCTTGTAAGGATATTTACATAGAATTCTACTCATTTGGTTGCCGGGTTACGTCGGGATATTGATAGCAATTTCAAAACTAACTAACTGTCAAGGAAAGGTAGGACCAACCACAACCTTCTACAATAGGACTAGGTAGATATAACAATATTTTTTACCCAAAATCACCAGAAAAAGTTACCAAATTCAACAAAAATTTACCAAACTTATTTAAACTAAACTAAAATTTCGGAGCACTTTAAAATCCACATTTGTCCAGTTATGACCAATATATACACATACATATGTCAACAAGTGGCCGAAAACATCTCAAAAATTCAATGCTTGAAATCAATCCTGAAAGCTTTCGACTCAGATGTAGACAAAGGGAAGTCCCCTACTGAACGCCGTAGCCTTTTGAACGTACATACATATTTACATAGAATTCTATTCATTTGGTTGTCGGGTTACGCCGGAATATTGATAGCAATTGCAAAGCTAACTAACTATCAAGGAAAGGTAGGACCATCTACAACCTTCTATAAAAGGGCTCGGTAGATATAACCATAGCCACTATCAAGCAGTTTGTTGTAGATCACACAATTATAGTAACCTCGGAACGCCGAAGAACTGTTCGCCTTACGAAACTTTCAGGATTACCTGGTATTTCTGTAAAAGGAAACGCTTACGGTCCATTTCCTAATGTGGAACCAGAACTTGTTTTGATCTATGCTACATGTAGGACTGAATCGAAAAAGTTACCAAGTTGAAAATAAGTTACCAAATATGATAAAGTTTATCATATCATTGATAAACGAAGAAAAAATTACCAATTTCGGTAAAAAATGGCCAAAGCGGCAACACTGCATATTTTACATATGTACATACATACATACGAGTACAAACAGCTGATTCCGTACGGAAGGTGCGACCAGTATCGCTCTTTCCTTAAGCAAATGACGTTTGACGAAACTTGATGTTAAGTACATTATACAGCCCAATCCTAAATATTCTCGCGGAATTTCTCCTTTGCGAATTTTAAAATCCTCTAAGAAAAAATCCTCCAATTCTAAATTGTCGGGGAGAAGGATTTTTGAGGAGTAGGATTTTTTCTCTTTCTATCTTTCGAAATCAGCTGTTATGCTTATTGTTGACAATTTTTCGATAATTTGCCAATGTGATTTTTGCATGTTTTGGCGAAACTTTATTAATTGTGGTTGATTCGGAAACTTAAAAATGAATAGCTTAGCGTTAAATATGTTAGTGAGAGAAATTAGTGAGGAAGAAAGGCAACAAACAAACGCGCAACGAGTGGCGAGGAGGAAACTGCGCGACTTGATGAACCCCTTGGAGTTGCCTCAACCTTTGTGAGTAAAGGAGTTCAAAAATATGTGTTAAAACAACTAACTATTTCGTTTTCTACTTCTATAAATAGATTTGAAAAGTATTTCAGGTTGAATAAACCGGCGTTTGAATACTTGCTAGAAGTGGTAACGACTCATACACAGCCAGGTAGGAAGCAGTTTGCTGTTACACCTATAGTGAAGTTGAGTGCCTGTTTGCGCTTTTTTGCGGAAGGTGGTTATCAGACGGGTGTGGGAAAAGACCACGACGTTGGACTGAGCAGTCTAGTTTCTCCAAAGCACTCGCCGACGTGCTACGTATATTTGAGACGTATCTGTGCCCACGGTGGGTACAGTTTCCAGTGACAGCGGAAGAAAAAATCAAAATTGCGACTGCTTTTTATGTTAAACATAAAATTCCAGCTGTTGTCGGTTGTGTAGATGGAACACACTTTAAAATAATCGCACCATCCGAAAATGCTCACCTGTACTACAACAGAAAAGGATACTACAGTTTGAATGTTATGTTGGTACGTTCTTAAATCGTTTTTGCAGAAAATTTACTTATTACTATTAATTCCAGGTGTGTGACCATGAACTAAAAATTCGCTACGTCGATGCTTCTCATCCGGGTGCTAGTCATGACTCGCTAATTTGGAACGTTAGCGAGTTACGTTCACATTTTGAGACCGAATTTTCGAATCGTCCAAGAAATTTCTGGCTATTAGGTAAAGTTTAGCACTGTAAACATTTTTAAAGTCAGAGCATTAAGGTTTTATATATACATGCATATGTATGTATGTATGTATGTACATAATTATGCACGTATCTTCGCCTAGAAATTAAAACATACATATTTTCAATTACGTGTATTAAGGTGATGCTGGATATCCGTTGGAACCGTGGCTTATCACTCCTTATCGGATGCCAGGCCAAGCAGAAATGAAGTTCAACGAAATACATTCGAAATGTCGCAACATTATTGAGAGAACAAACGGGGTTTTAAAAAACAGGTGGAGATGTATCCTTTATTGCTCGAGAACTACACTACACGCCAGAGAAAGCAGCACAAATTATTAATGCTACTTGTTGCTTACACAACATCTGCATTTACTTCAGAGCGAATGTAAATTTTCCTGAGCGAGGTAAATTTTCCTGAAGTTCACGAAGCTCATACTACTACGCCGACGCGCAATATGGAGATTGCGAGATCAATAAGAAATAATATCCGCGATTCTTTTAATAATTAAAAATTAAGAATAGCAATTTTTGAATTTTTTACACACATTTAATTCTCGTAAGCTTGGCTATAAATATGTATTACTATTTCGATGTAATAAAACACTTAGATATGTTGTAATAAAAAATCATATAGTGCCGCACTAAATTATTGACACAGGGAATTTTTTACAATGTATGTAAACTTTTTTACTTTAATTTTTCCTCTAGTTTATTTAAAAAAATTAGCTCATACCAACAAAAAAATAATTGAACCTCGAAACTCAATTTTTACCGGCCCAGAAACGGTAGGAATGATCGATTGAAACTGGATTTGTCTTCATCTACAATATCAATTTCAATAGTATGCAAGGGTGCCTCCATTTTACCTAGTCCTTACAGAGTTAAGGACATTATGTTGTTTTATTGTTTTTCTGGGGAGTAATAGTAGCTTGCGGCGCCATGTCGTACATTTTCCATAAACTGAACGCTTCACACTGCCATCCCTATAAAGGCTGCAGGAAAAGGTAGTAAACCTTTCTCGATCTTGCTAAAATTTGTTATTTGAAATACTTCCTCTAGGGAAATAAAAGTATGACAACTGGCAAAAAGAAGGTGAACTGCAACGCCACTACACCAGGGGGCGGATATGGTAAATGTTATTCCATTCCAATGAAATTTGGTTTGTCACTTGGATTAAGCTAGGAAGACATAGACCTGAAATATAGTGAAAGAGGTCAACAGTCACGCCCACCAGCTATCCAAATTTTTTATTCTAAAATTTCAAAAATATGGTGAAAGATCTATTTTCGCATAAAACCCAGAAATATAAAAAAAATTGTGAATTGGCGACCAGCTACGCCCCTTCTCCGCCACATTTGTGGGCAGGAATGGGAAATAAATACTACCCGATTTTATTAAAATCGATTTGTACCTTAAAAGGCGACCATTCCCGCCCACTAGTACGGAGGGAGGGAGGCGTGGATGTCAGTCAATCCACACACTTTGATATATATCTGGGAGTTTTAATGCAAAAATAGATCTTGCACAAACGTTTTGCTATTTTGGAGGAACGGTACTAGTCCTTGCCACATTAGAATCCAGAATTCGGATGGCTTGTGGGTGTGATAGTTGACCAATGTTTCCCATATACCAGAATTATGTCTTCCTAGGTTAATCTAAGTTACAAATTGAATTTCATTGAAATCGCCTTCTAGGGTAGTGGGCGTGGCAGTCCGCTAAATTCAACCATATTTAATATTTACTCCACGATATAATTGCATTGAAAAAAATAATCTATGTAATGTGGAATTCCCACTAGGCATTAAATGACAAAGATTTTCATGACTATGTTGGGCATTAAATGCTACCGAATGTCATTACGTTCATAAAAATAGTCATTGTGTTTGTTTTCACATGGCATTTTTAAAGTGGCTTACAGTTTTTGTCGTTTCAATGCCAGACGGAATGGTGGTATCAAAGTCAGGTAAATTTTAAATCCTACATAATAAAGCGGCTTTTAATAGAGAAAACCCTTATCTCATGTTCTTTGTTTATTTGTTTCAAAAGTTTTTACGGATTATTAGCAATTTGGTAGCTTTTGAATAATTCTGGATATTGAAACCATTATGAACAATGTATGTACATATGTTTTAAAAATTACTTACGATTAAAGTTTGGTCAGATCGCCGTGTTTTGTTTCTTTATAAAAATTAAGTAAAAGACGTGATCGAACTATTTTTTGACGATTTCTTCCTGCATCCATTATATTTATTTCGATTCGAATCGATTCAAAAATCGATTTTTTTCGATCGGGCATATCTAGTGTATATACGTCCTGATGGTCTCCGAACGGCAAATGGCGTTATGAGAAGATTTTTCAAGGCAGAATGGTGGGAGATTTACCATTACCTGCCGAGGGCCGACCGATGTTAGAAACAACTTTTTCTAATTTAGCTGTTGCTCGAAACAAGGATCGAACCTAGTTCCTACGAAATCGTAGTACGCACCTCTTACAGCTCAGCCACAGTTGCCCGCTTACATATTTATGGACAAACATACACTGAGAAAAAGTGACATCATCTTTCCGATTCCGGATTTCGTGTTAGTGGTTTAAAATGTTTGATCAGAAAAGTAGTTTCTAAACACGTTTGAAATGAAATAAGTTGGCACGCTTGTAAGATATTTGATTTGATTTTGCAGAGGGACTTGCTATTAAAAGGATTACACCGTGCGATAGTGCAATTTACAAACAAAAATATCACAACACTCGCGAAATGTAGAAGAATTGCGTTTTTGTTTTTTTTTTCCGATGCGTCGCGACATCAGTTCGGTAGACATATAGATTTTTTCATGCGTTTAGCAATATTTTTTGTTTTTGTCGCACGGTGTAATAAAAAGTATTAGGGTTGTTCAGGATATTGAGCAAATGGTCTTGGATTTGCATTTGGAATTGCATGTGCAAATTTTGTGCCTGCTACCATGGCAACCGTTGGCATTTTATTGTTGTGAATTTACAAATGCACAGAAATATGCACTTGCAAGGTCATATGCACAAGATCCTGAACAGAGAATTAAACAAGGTAAGGGATTATGATGGTATAATTTTAAATTCACCAAACTTACATACAAGTTTGCAACTTTTTAATAAGATTTTCTATGAAAATTCTAAGTATGTAGTTTCATAGCCTATTCAATTGTGGTATAATGAAGTGCAAGCTTTAAGTTTCTAAAAAGCGCGTTGCTTTTGGCAATTTTTTTCACGCAGCTTTCATACAAAAAAGTTGACGATCATTCTTCGTATGAAAGAAACTATGTTGAAAAATTGCCAAAAATCAGCGCGCTTTTTTCCAACTTAAAAGTTGCACTTCATTATACTACAATTAAATAGGCTATAAAACTACATACTTAGAATTTTCATAGAAAATCTTATTAAAAAGTTGCAAACTTGTATGTAAGTTTGGTGAATTTTCCTGAGTTTTGTACAAAGTTTCGAGGTTTAATTATTTTTTTGTTGGTATGAGCTAATTTTTATAAATAAATTAGAGGAAAAATTAAAGTAAAAGTGTTTACATACATTGTAAAAAATTCCCTGTGTCAATAATTTAGTGCGGCACTGTACATACATATGTATGTATAGTACTTATAGTATTTAATTCAATAACAAAACAAAACGCAGGTAATTCACTTAAAAAATAAAAATATTATCAGTAAAAAATCTGAGCTTATAGTCTCATTGTGCTTTGCGCAATGCTATTAGTGAATAGACTAACATTGCAAATTTTCGTCTTTGTCTTTGTAAATTTTCAGTTCCTGTATTTCCAGCAGTCTTTTAGTTTTCTCTATTTTATGTTCAATTTCATTTCTTCTCATTTCTTCAATGAAATAGTTGTGCCTTTTCTTTTCTTCTAGCTTTTCTCTTTTAATTACGTTCGCTTTTTTGATTTCCTCCAACTTTTCTTTTTTTATAAGCTCAACTGCCTTGAAATGTTTCTTTTTGAGATCGTATATTTTGTCTAGCCTATAATATTTAAAAAAAATATTTTATTACGAGTAAATTTTTGTAAAATGAAAATAAATCGAACCTTTGGTAAATTTTTCTTAAGTTGTCGCGATGCTCGTCCTGATTTGCCACTCCAGTCTTTATGTTTGCGCAGATTTCCTTCTGTATTTTTATTTCCTCAGTCAGAGCAAGCTCGGCCCTTTCTTTTTTTGAAAAGTTTTTTTTTGAGGATGATGCCTTCTTGCTAGTGGATGGCACTTCAGTATTATCAGCAGAAGCTTCTTCACTGACAAATTCAAATGAATCTGCAGAAACAAGGGACACATTTATAGTCGTATAATCTGCATGACTTGCTTCGCTGATGACCATAGATTCATCCAAAGTCTCATTTTGGGTTACATTCGGTAACTCTACTTCTGGGCAGAAGTTTTCATTGCAGATCTCATTAAAGTTTTCTTGCAGGCCAAACTTCTTTACGGGCAATCCTTCTACTGACTGCTTCATCCCAATCAATTTAAAAATGGCTTCTTCAAGGGGGGAGAGTACTTTCACCATATGTGGGCCGCCTCCAGTACCTTTCTGAAGCTTAGTATTGCTAGCCACTTTTTGCCGAACATATTTTTTCTGGTCGGCCCATACCTAAAAATGCGATTCATCAATTAAACAATGTATATATTTGTGTAGCAAAAGGAACATTAACAAACTACTGACACAATTTTGCATGCCTACACCGATTCTCTTTTTGAAACATTGAAATCACCTTTTTCCATTCCACAATGGTTTTAGTTGGGGGGCCTGCCGCATTCAGCTCAACATTCACCTTCTGCCAAAATCGGGTGAGCTCCTCCTTATTTCCTTTAAAAAATCCTCTCGCAATAGCAGGATTCTCCTCCATCATGTTTACAAGGATTCCCATTTGGGTTTTATTTGTTGTTTTCGACCTTAAAAAAAAAAAATGTATGTCTTTTTCTTCCATTTTATCAAAATACTCACATTTTTGCAGCAAACTCCCTTGAAAATTCGAGATGAAATAATTCTAACGGATTTCGAAGAGTTTCCGCACTTTCTTTATATTTAAAATACCTACTTTTCATGTTCGAAACTTTTCGAAGATGTTTAGGATAGGCGGAAAGCGGAAAGTGAGATATTCCGCAAAACTCTTTTATTTAGAATAGTAGGATTGCGCAAAGAGAAAAAACTCGTGCGGAAATATTATTTAGGATTGGGCTGATAGTTTCAGCATAGGATTTATGTGTATTCGCACGTTTGCATACGCTTGCTTATTCATATTATAGTAAGCCCTTTAGGCCTGGCACCGTGTTGCTTCTCTTGAAAATGAATTAAAAGAATAGAAGTTTTACGTATAAAAAAGTACTACATATAAGGTAAATTTCTGTTGAAAATTGACAACGTTGGCATCACTGCTGCTATTAGTTGTGTTTAATGAGCTGCTCTAGGTTACGCAGGTTAAGATATCTCACAAAATTAGTTGCGTTCCTTATCTCCCAAAAATAGTCAGAAAAAGTCCGAAGTAGTCAGATTTAGTCCAAAAAGCGTTCCATAACTCGAAAATGACAGCAAAAATGAGAGAGCAACACTCAGTGAGAGTGACTCTCTTCAGTCCGAAGTAGTCAGATTTAGTCAGAAGGATTTTTTTCTGGCAAAATCTTGAGGTGTCAAACTCAACTGAATTTAAATTAACGGAAATTAAAGAATACGCAAAAAGTGAGAATAATCTAATAAGTAACAAAAGTGAATTGAAATTGGAAGGAGGCAAAAAATAATTGACATAGTAAGTGTTTATTGTGCTTGTGCTTGTGTGAATGTGTTTTGTACATACATTTCTATTCTACATTCTAGCAATTAGTGACTATTTTTGTGACTTGAGGCGATTTGGGTATTCAGAAGGAGAGAGTCACAAAAAGTTCACTAAAAATGTGTGGTGAAAGCAAACACTGACAATCCACTGATAGCGGTTATGTATGCTTTTTGCCCGCGCCGCTCAAAGAGTCGCAATGGCCGAGTGGTCAAAGCATCCCTGCAGGGAAAGCTACTAGTTGTGAACTAGAATTCTACCGGTTTGCGTTTCAGCCCAACTAGTTCACATTCTATCCTTTTTGAATGTTAGCGACTGGTATTTTTAACATTGCGATGTCCTACGAGATGTCAATTGTCAGGCTATGCATCAGCATCTACTAGTATAAATACTAGTAGCATCATACCAGTTGATGAGATAGTCTGCCAATTCATGCCCCGTGAAAAGCATAAGTGTGCCTATTTGCTCGCGACGCTCCAGCAGTCACAATGGCCGGCAGAGCAAAGCACTCGCGTGGTAAGCCTGAGGTCCCAGGTTAAAATCCTGGCGCAGGAAAAGTTTTTATATTTTCTATTTTTTTTTATTTTTATTTTTTATAAATTTATTTTTTGTTTAGGCTGTTTATTGTAATTTTTAAATTTAATTAAAAAAAATATTTTTGTTTAATTTCTTTGTTTTTATAGCACAAGCATTTCTTTCTAAATGTTTTTTTGCAATGCAATTAGATTATCAAATTTGTTATTTATTTATAAATTGAATAAATTATTTTTGCTTACATTTATTTAACTTTAAAAATCTTACCAGAACCAGTAGTCTTCACGTGACGCCACAGCCGACATTTGTAAGAAAAGCAATTATAATTGCGTTTTATGTTTGGCTTTGGCAATTTAAAGGCAGATGTCGCGGATCACCTAAGTTCTTCGAAATTGTCGAACTGGTAGGCACATACTACTTAATGAACTAGTATTTTTTCTAACTGGTTTGGCTTTTCACTGCAGGGATTAGGCTGGCAGCCGAGAGGGTCCGGGTTCAAGTCCTCCTCGGGCGTAGAGGATTTTTTATTTTTTTTATTAGTTTTATTTTTTTAACAATCTTTAAATTGTAATGTTTTAAAAACAAAAAAATATATATTTTTCAATACATTTGTGTGATATTAAAGCAATTTGGTTTATTTCCTAATGAAATTCTTGTTGAACAAATTTACTCACTTCATTTTCGCGTTTTTTTTGAATAAAATGGAAAGAAATAGGCTTTTCCTCCATACTTCTATTTTTGTGACCTGCTCTTAGCCAGCTGACAAATTAGTGACTTATTTTTGAGACTAGAGACGTGAGACAGCGTACTGAATACTAAATTGTCTCAAAATCCAAGTTCACCAGCAAAAGGCACTATTAGTGACTAGAGACCGCTTACTCAAGAATGATAGAATACAAGATTGCGCCGATTGCAGCAGAATTCGTGAGAGTAATTTTAGCGTGACGTCATCGTAGAGTTGACAACTGAGAGCGGCGAGAATGAGGGCGACTAGTGATGTGCTGAATTGTCCCCAATACTCGGTACCCAATACTTAAAAAAGATTTCGTATCCGATACCGATTATTTACATTAAACCCTCGCCATTATATGCATTTCAGGTTTAGAAAAAACTTTCATTACTAATTTATATGATATCGGCTAATACACTTGAACTTATCGCCACAGAAAAATATTATTTTATCAGTTTTAACCTTAGTTGGTCCAAGGTTCAAGAAAAATACTTTGACGGATGAAGAAGCCTTTGAGGAGAGAGATTCTGTAGCCAGTTAGCGACAAGTTTCGGATCGATATCGCACTTGTTGACTTACAAATATTTGATATCAAACGTCGACAAAACCGATACCGATTCGAAAATTGTCGTTAACTGGTTACAGAATCTGTCCCAGGCCTACAAAAATGATATCGTCCGATTCAGCTGGAACAAAAATGCTTCAAACAAGTAAGGGTTTCTCTGTATTATGGCATCGAACCGACATATATACATCTTTCATTTGAATCAGTAAAAAAGCTCTATTGGCTCTTACATTCGGGTTTTGTTAGGCGTTTTTTCCATATTTTTGGCCTATGTGCGCTTTTATTCGAAACCTAAATGTTTCGGTACCGAGTATCGAGAGTATTGGGTACTTAAAAGTATTGACTCAGCACATCACTACTGCTGTCTTCTCTACTATGACGTCACCAAAACAGCTGATTCTGTCAAAATCACTGAGAGCCGAGTAGCGGTATCGTCATCGGCGCCACCTCTGTATTCTCTCCACCGTGCCGCTTACTGAATGCCAGGGTTACTCTACTTTTTATTACATGAAAATGCGCTAAGTGGAACTAGAGCAACTTGCACGATTTTCAGCACCAGCTTTTTTGATGGAGTAATATTACGTTCAAATTGGCCCCATTTAACTTGTTAAATGAAAAAGCTTTTTGTAAAACACAATCGTCCACATTGAACATTTCGAGTTAACTTTGACGGTTGATTTTAAATAAATAGCGTGCAGGGTTAGAACTACGGCAAGCTTAAATCGGACTAAATTACATGAAAAAACGTAGCAGAAAATAATGTTCCGTATAGTTTTTTTATAGACCGCTCGTTTATTGGAGAACGTCATAATCCAAAGATCCTTAGAGCAAGCAAACACATACACACCCTTTACAATTGACGAATTGAACTGTCGAGCAATCAACTGTTTTGAGCATTTCTGCCTGAAAAGTGTTTCATTTATGATCTGAGTTGCTCTAACCAAAATGTATTCAACAAAGTGTGATTGAATTTGGCATTGCTCTCAGAAGAACCATCCTATAGTCAAATTGAAAAAATTTTTGTATGAATTTTGAATCGAATGTTTATATTTTTTGGCATAATAGTACCTGAAAAGAGAGCTTACCTGAGTTGTCAATCACACCTTGTTTAATACACCTTGACTCTAACTTGCTCTATTGTTTTTTTGGCAGCTGCTGTATTCTGCACTTTCTTCGGTTTCGTTAAACACAACTATTATTAGTTGCGTTCCTAACTTTTCTGGGTTAAAACCTGTAAAACTCTCAAAAGGCAAAAGAAGCCAGGGAATCGAGTACGGGAACGCTTACTGGTAAATTCCTGTAAATTTATGCAACTTCTTGCGAGTAAGGAACCGCAACTATTCCTCTTTGCTTTCTTCATATTCGCTGTCATTTGATTTTTCAGCTGGCGTGAAATTTGGTATGTTTTCCAATAATTCCGAGTTATTCCTAAATATAGTTAAAGTTTCTAATTATTAATGTCTAATATACCAAATTTGCTGCATAATTAAATGCAGCGCATACAATTTGAGGCCCACCGTGAAGTAGTATTTCACCAATAGTGTTTATTTAACTAAATCTGTAATCTCTTTCCATAAAACCGTGCCCGAGGCTTTAAACAAGTAACTATAAGGTGGAAATTTGAAATTTTCTTTACAGTTTTCTTTGTGTTTTCAATTCGAGTCCGGCGCTTCCCCAAAAGTTAATTTTTCCTGCCCCAGAACAACGACACCAATTCGCTTTTGTGGACACTGCCTTCCACACACACACGTAAGTTAAACTAATACAAGTGGCTTTAAATAAACAAACTAACAAGTGAAACTTTTTCTTTGCAGGTTTCCTTGTGCTGCATTTTTCCAGCTTCGTAGGGGCGGATCTTTTGCATCTGTGGACACTACGTTCCAAGTAAGGGTAAGAACATAGTGGAGCGGCGAGCAAACAGCACCGCGCGTCGATTTCAAACGCATATGTTTCAATGGGAAAACGCATAGTGAAGAGCAAAGCGTACATACACGTTTGTAATTGAAGCTTCCCAGCAAACAATTAGGTTTGATAAATATACATTTGAGAATGATTTTAAATCAAAGCCTTTCTCAAATGTCAAACGTTTGAAAATGATTTGATATTGATTTGAAAATTACAGCTTTCTCAATAAAAAGGGGAGTTTGATCTCCATTTGAGAATATGGTTAACTCTCATATCAATTTCAGAGGTTATTTATCAATTGTACTTCAAATATGGAAATAGAATTTATTATAGGAAATGTATATGTCATATTTATATTTCGCGATGTACATATCGTCGTTTAAAGTACAAAACCGCGTATCGTCATTCTGCAAAACCGCGTAACTGACATTGGCTGTCAAAAATTGGATTTGCTCACACAAGCTGTTGGCTCAATCCTTATCCATTCGTCTTGAAATATACTTGCCAGAAATGCGATTTCTCTATAAAAAAGTGAACCATTTTGAAATATGAGTGTTTTTACTGTCTATAAAATAATTTATACAACCTCACATACGCGGTTTTGCATTTTCCTGATACGCAGTTTTGCATTTTGTTGATACGCGGTTTTGTACTTTAAACGACGACATGTATGTACATAACAAAAGAAACAATTAAGATAAAGTAATTTATAAAAAATTTGTCTTGAAGAGCTGCAACTTCTTCAATCCGCGCAAACATTAGTTGCGTTCCAAAAGCTTCACGATTTGCAGGTTTTTACAGGAAGTCGTTCCAGGTGACCACCTCCCATAAGGTTTATTAATGGAGAAAACAGCTGTTCCTGCAAATCGTGAATTTCGTGAATATCGTGAAGCATCTGTAACGCAACTATTAAATCCACTATTTGTGGGCTTTCTCTTTGAATTTTTTTTCTATTCATTTTTTTTTTCAATTGATCTAAATTTTATTCTTACAATTTTTGATTTAACTGCACAATTTTATATCGTTTGACACTGGCCATCTTTATTCAAATCAACGTCAAATGAATTTCAAATGTAAAATTTAAACCTCGTTTTCAATTTGAGAATCATTTGAGAAAAACATTTGATATTAAATTGAGAAATAAATTTTTCTCAAACGTTTGAGACTGTATTTGCTGGGTTTGCTCGATGCTAGCTCTTCGCTTTGCTCGCCGCTCCACTATGTTTTGACCCTTAAACTATGTTCACATATCAATATTATCTCAACCAAAGCTCGTTTTTTAATCACCCCGTTTACACAAGCAAATCTCAGATACTTAGCCGTCAAATTTGTTGTGCTTGTTATTCTCACATCTCAAGGAAAAGTTATGTTTCTTCTCTGTGCCACCGTGATCACGTTTTTCTGCTATAATAAGCAATATAAATATATTTTAACTTAACATTTTATTAAAAATACCTTCACAAACCTCGTTTACTTGCTGGCGTACATTTTTGTTTACTTTTACATTTGGCATTTCTCCTCTTTTTCGCAAAAACAATCGCCTCTCGCTCCCTTCCATTTCGTTTGGACAAAAATTACGTACGAAGAGATGTAGTAACAAAACAACTTATCACAACTAAAGCACAGAGAATTTTTCACAATTTTTTTTATTCTTAAAGAAAAAAATTATACTAAATACATCAAAAAACAAAATTCAAGATATTCAATAAATTTGCATACAAATTTGCATACAAATTTGCAACTTTTTAATTAGGCTTTTTGTAAAAATTTTAAAAATTAAGTTTTGCAGCCCATTAAATTTTAGTTGATTGTTGGTATTGTTTTTACTGATTGTTTCTTCCATACAAACTATGTTCGACAATTCTTTTTATATGGAAGACACTGTCAGCAAAAAAATGGCTTAAAATCAACGAAATTTTCTGGCAACTTCAGACTTGCACTTTACTTTACAAAAGGTATATTTTCAAAGTTTTTTTAACAGGTCTGATTAGAAATTGTGGTTTGATGAAGAGTGTCCGAGCCAATAATTTTGTACGGCACTGTACTTATAAGCACTCTAGGTTTCATGAAAGAAAAAAAATTTGAGTACAAGATAACATTAAAATATCAGTCAAATTTTTCGTTGCTGTGGACTTGTTTCGAAACTTCTGACTTTTCCTTAATATAATTGTAAAACTCTGTGCACGTCATTTTTAACGTATTTAGGTACATATTGTGACGAATACTTTGACAACGCGAAGCGACCATCGAGAAATAGGCAGAATGTTCGAGGAATGACGTAGAATGTTCCACAAAGAGAAACGTCAAGTTGGATGAACACTGCGAACAGCGAGAGAAAGAGAATGAGCGATAAACTTCAGAACGTTCTAGAGTTGCCATAAGTACGAGCGCAGGTATATAAGGGCGCCGCCACAGCGATGTGAGTTAGATACAAGTCAGCTAGCTACAAGTAAAGTGAGCAGAGAAGTGAGTTGCGAATAAGCAAGCTATAAGTTTAATTGTGTTAACAATTATTGTAAAGTGTTTTTACTGTATTAGCAAGTATTGTAAATTGTTTGTTGTACAATAAAGTTAATTGTACTACAATTTGGTCATCGTTAGCATTTATTTAACAATCCAGCGATACCAGCCGGAGGATATATGGGAAATCCCTCAACAAGATGCAGCGAACAAAGGTGGCGCCGTCAGTGGTACCGCTACTTTGGTTTTGCCGATTTTGACAGTTGTGGTAACTTGTAAATAAACCTTTGTTTACAAATCAGCGAAAGAGAAATTTGAATTATAAGTGAAAAATAAGTTTAAATTGTGTTAATTTTCAATTTGCGAGTGATTTTTGAGTTGTGGACTGCGTAAAAACTAATACAACGAAGTGCTGTGTGTTAAATTGCGACAGCCGTCAAGATGCAAGAAGCGTAGATACAAGTGTAGCGCTGGGACGAATCGCTGCATTTTGTGTACATAGGGCACGGCAAAGCCGTTTCCGAAATGTTTCTCTATTATCATATTACCAGCATTTCCTCACAATGATTTTGTTTCTGCTCCACGCAGCCTCCATTAGCAAGTTAACTAATCAATCCCGCAGAGATGCTGCTGTAGTTTTCTGCAGCAGCCTTAATTACAAAGCAATGGAGTGCACTAAAATGTTTACTGTTCTCTAATAGATTAGGTGAAAAATGCAATATTTTCATATTTAGCAAAATTAAAACCCGTTTTTCGCTGTAAAGTGAACTGCTTTGGAAGTTTCAACTCGCTCTTCTTTTCGCTCCATTCTTTGTTTACTTGTAGTACACAAATGTCAACGCCCAGGACGGCGCAATCTTGTATTCTATCATTCTTGATCCCTCAAGGTTTCGAGGATAATCGTTACAATTGGTTTCAGAAGTGGGATTGTTAAATAAATCTCGAAGGATAAACTTATGAAAATGGCGAAAATTCAGGACTTAAAGATTAAGGAACTCAAACAGGAGTTGGAGAAGTGAAATTTAGCAACCTCTGGAAGAAAAGTGGAGTTACTATCACGGCTGCGAGAGGCTATGGAAGCAGAAGGCATCGACGTGGACAAATACGACTTCCAGGGTAAACTTGACGATGCATCCGGAAAGGATGAACAGAAGGATGAGGCCGCTTGTTCGTCGAAGGATATGCAGCAGACATCCGGGAAGGTTGACGAACAGCAAAAGTCTCCAAGTTTATCAACAGCTATGGACGTGAACACGTTATTGGCTGCCATGTCACAGATGTCATCACAGCTGTCGTCACAGATGATGCAAGCACAGGATACACGCATGTCACAGATGTCATCACAGCTGTCGTCACAGATACAGGCGCTGGAGACACGTATATCTTCAGAGGTATCAGCGCAGGTGTCATCGCAGGTGTCATCCCGGTTAGAAACTCAGCTACAAGCACAGGAGGCACGCATATCATCACAGCTGGAAGCACAGGATGAAAAAATTACACAAATACAGGACAAACTTGAAGAGAGACAGGAGAAAGTCGAAGCAAAGGTAGAAGAGTTGGAAGGTCGCCTCCGAGATTTGCAGGTGAATCGTCCAGCTACTTCGACAAGTGCTCCCAAGGTAAAGACTCCATCCTTTGACGGCACGATTCCTTTCTAAGTCTTTAAGCTCCAGTTCGAGAAGACAGCTACAGCAAATCGTTAGAGCATGGAGGATAAATCCGCAGCTCTGTTCGTGGCATTAAAAGGATCTGCAGCGGAAATCTTGCAGACAATTCCTCACTGTGAAAGGAACAATTACGATGCATTAATGGGTGCAGTGGAAAGACGTTATGGTAGCGAGCACAGGAGACAAATTTACCAGATGGAGCTGGAGAATCGCAGCCAGAAATCCAACGAGACTCTACAGGAACTCGCCTCCGAGGTTGAAAGGTTGGCTCATTTGGCAATTGGAGATGCATCTGGTGAGCACCTCGAAAGAGTAAAAATCCAGAGGTTCATCAACGGAATACGGGACGTGTATACCAAGCGAGAGACGTACGCGAATCCCAAGCCAAAATTTGCTGAAACTGTCTCGTATGCTCAGACGCGTGAAACGGCGGCGCTCCTAAGTAGACCAGCCTACAAGCACAATGCGTGGAAGTGGAAACACCGGACGAGACAAATGCTGGGCGAGAAAAATCATGGCTCTGGCGAATGTTTTAAATGTGGAAAGCCAGGCCACTTCGCCCGCGATTGCAGCGCAAGTTCCTGTGGGCTCAACAATTCAGCAGGACGCAAACGCAGGACTGAAGGAGACGAAGCCAACTTCAATCAGTCGTTAAGCTGAAACGAGCCAGCAGGAAGGGCTGCGTGCTGGCTCCAGAAGTTGAAGGGCCCATAATCTCCGTCCCACAACTTGGCCGGAAAGCATGCAACCTCACTGTGTGTGGATGTGTCAATGGGCAGGAGAGAGTACTGAAAGTGGATACTGGAGCGACACATTCCATTATTCGACCGGATTTGGCCACTTTTTTTGTGAAGCCACTACCTGGAGCAAAGCTGCAGACTGCAACTGGTGAACGCACCCAAGTGTTAGGAGAAGTACCATGCGAGGTAATAATCGACGATGTGGCCTCGTACACTAAGTTTATAGTGGCAGACATTGTGGATGAAGTCATCATCGGCGTGGATTTCTTACTTGGCCAAGGCATGAAGATTGACCTCCAGAGAATGATCCTGACAGATCGTCACAGGAAAGTGGCACTTAGGGTTGGTTACGACAATCAGTGCTTCGGCAGCCGATTGGTCTTAGAGGAAGTGCCGAAGATTCCACCAGAAATGGAAGTGGTTAGTTGGGAAGAGGTTGACAGTGATGGAGACGAAATGGTTTCGTCAGGAGAAGGAAGTGGTTCACCGATACAGGAAAAGCGTGACAGTTCCACCAGCGCAGTGAAGAAGAGATCGCAACAAGGAAGTGGTCATGGCGAGCCAGGCAGTGTTTCCGGCCGGAGGAAAGCCACTGAACCACGTTGCAATGGTGATACGCCGGTGGCCGGAAATGGAAGCGGCTGTTGTTGCAGTAGGCGCGCTGAAAAAGGTGGTCGGCAAAGGCGAGCAGTTAAGCCGGAAGCCAAGGGTGAGATTATAAATGTCCAGTCAATGAGGTTGACGCCGGCGAAAGAGCGAAATGCGGAAACACTGGGGAAAGTTTCAGCGTGAAGAACCGGATTTAGCAAGATGTGCTAAAGGCAGTGCAGCACGAAGGCAGGAGCCTGGGTGTCATGGACAGCGGATGCGGCATAGATCTGGCAAAAAGAGTGCCCACGAGAGGAGACATGGTCTGGTCACCACCAGTGGCCGGCAGAAGCACGACCATCTGAGATGGTGCACCACCGGTTATGAGCTGGAAGCAATGTCCAGTAACGCACCGAGCCGAGAGGAGCTACAGGAAGGAGATTTGGTGTTGTTGCACATGCCGCAGCCGAAGAAAGGCTTCACCTCCGAACAACATCGTAACTGGAAAGGTCCGTATAGGATTGACAAACGGCTGAAGGACGCAGTGCATCGAATCCAGACAGCTGGGAGACCGAGAACCAAGATGAAAGACTAGCAACGTTTGGAGCAGCAAGTGTGTCTGATCGGAACGATCAGACTTAGGTGGAGGGCAGTGTGCCGAATACTGCGGCAACGCGAAGCGAACAACGAGAAATGTTCGGGGAATGACGTAGAATGTTCCACAAAGGGAAACGTCAAGTTGGATGAACACTGCGAACAGCGAGAGAAACAGAATGAGAGATAAACTTCAGAACGTTCTAGAGTTGCCATAAGTACGAGCGCTGGTATATAAGGGCGCCACAGCGCCTGAAACTATACAAAAAAGCAAATAAGTAAATGGATGTATAGAATTGACAACAACAACCACGCTGTCGAGTTTAAATAGCGGCAAATCAGATGCACTTGATAGTAGTTGGTTGAATAAGAAAAATGAATTAGCAACAAGAGTTTACGGGATGTACATAGCTCAGTGGTTAACGCTTCTGACTTTGAACATCGAATACGCAGGTTCGATCCCTGCTGAAGTCTAGAAAAAAGAAGTCTGATGAGGAGATGT